TTGTCCATTATTCTCTATTTTTGTCGAGCCTTCGACTTTAGTCGAAAAAGCGAGACATAGCGATCCTACATTCCGTCGGCGTCGTCGTCGTCGTCGTCGTCGGCGGCGTCCACAAATATTCACTCTGTGGTTAAAGTTTTTGAATTTTAATATCTTTCTTAAACTATCCTGAATTTCTACCAAACTCATTTCCCGTGGCAGTCTAAATTTCTCCGACCTCAACCCCAGACGCCTCTATTACAGAAACCTACCTATTGTATTTATTGTTAATTTGTTCTCGTCCTGAATATGCATGAAATATTTGCCACTGGACGTTAAGCAACCAACAATCAATCAATCAATGAAGAAAGTTAATGATTTAGGAGGGTATCTTTTTTATATTGCTGAAAGGAATAACAAATCTAGAATATATCTTGTTACATCAAAAAATTTGTATAAATCATGTAGGTTTTTCTTGCAAATAGATATGGTTGACAAACTAAAGGATTTTTTTAACCATCTACATGTACAATGTACCACTATAAGGATATAAAAAGATATTAATTATGATTAGTCTTTGCAGTTGATAAATTGTAAACAAATGCACTTCACACAGAATCATGCTTTTTAGTTATGTCAGCGTTAAACATGCAGGATTACAACTTCTCCCCTATTATGTAATGTAAAAAAAGCAGCAAGACTTCCTTACTTATTAATCATGACCTGAAGCTTGAGAAATCGATTCCTTGTATGACGTAGTCGGATTCGTGATTTCTAGATTTTTCTCCATTGACTCAGTGGAATCTAATGTGGCTTCCTGTAGGGCTTGAAGGAATCTGATATGCGTTTCTTTGTTTTTCCCTTTGATTTCAGTTGCATATATATGCTGGTGGTAATCAAATTGCATGTCTTCTGGTATAATGTTTAAAAGGTGTTCAATTTTTGCCTTGATTTGAATAACTGTTAGGTTTTCCAAGCTATAAAATTTTTCTCTTTCAGTTGGAGTCGATGGCACTGGGTTTCTGATAAAAACAGAGCTTTCTAGATCTTCTTTTAAAATGTGTGTCTTGATATAATGATTCCTTTTAGTGGTAGACTGTTCTATGTATTTAACAAGGCCTTCGTCTAATGCAACATTTGTTATCGAGATGTGATCACCAGACTTGTTCAAGTAGTTTGTACTGCGCAGAAGGCATCGGTAGTCGTAAATTGAATCTTCAAGGTGCATTGGTTTTGATTTGCCCTTTTCGGTCTGTATGGCAAATAATGAGAGGGAATTGTGTTTGATTTTTTCAAGAATTAAATTATTACGACATACTGTTTGCCAAATAGAATCTGTGGGAATGCCTTTTGGAATCCAGGATTTTAATTGTCGATTCTTTTCCTCTAATATAAAATCAAAGTCTTGACCAGTTGATTTATTTTCAGTGGTGGTAATGGAAGAATATGCATCATTTAGATTCTGCACTTCACATGACATAAGCAGATCTTGTTATGTATCATTGATCTAAATTTCTTGGTATTTAGGATGTTGACGACCATGAAACAACTCTTTTGTCATAAATTTAGAACTCTTTAGCAAGTCAGAATTATTCCTTCTGATAGACATTCTGAAGTTGATAATAGCTTGTGAGAAGCGACAAACCTGGTTCATCATATACTTAAAATTTGGGCTTGCATTAGACTGATATAATTGATTGTTAAATTCAAAAAAATTGTTTGGCATCTGGATTTGATCCATCCTTTAAACTGTGACGCACATAGGGCAAAACTAATTCTCTCAAGGAAGCTAGATGGAATATCAATAACAAGTTCCAGCTTTTGTGCAGATCTTTGCAGGCTTTGGCATATTGCTTTGCAGCATCAGATAAGAACCCCATTCTTTCACACAATGGTTCTAAGAAAGATATCCAATTGAGCTCAAAATATGACTTGATCAGGTTCATCTCATAATGGCCAGCCCCAATTCGAAGATAAAACCAGTCAAACTCATGTACACATTCACAGTACTCCTTATTGGGATGCTTTTCCTGTGCATGTATGATGAATTTGGTCTTTGAAAGAAACTTTTCATTGCAGTTATCCTCAGTGCACATGACTGCTTCTTCTTGTAATTTCTTACAAATGACATACGGAAGACCATCACAGCATACAAATGTCCAGTGTCGAACAGATCCACCATACTTATAAATGCCATTATCTCTCCCAATTTTACGAAGAACCATTGCAACTGTTTCATAGCTGTTTGGGTTGCAAAAAACAGGATCTGTCAAAAGTTCATAATGACTTGTCATATGTCTGGTGGGTATGTGATCATAAGCAGTATTTTCAACATGAGTTGTGGAGTCCGTTTCATTTGTAAAAGTAAGCTTCGTGTATGAAACTTTCTTTTTTTTCCAACTCTTTCGCTCTTTTCAATCCATCTCTTTCATTGCAACCTTTACAAATCTGTTTTTTCGGTTCCATGTTCCACGTGTAGCACATTGCATCATCAAGTCATCCAGTGCATCTTTTGTTACTTTTTGATCGATGATGTCTTCGATTTTATCTCCTTCTAATACTTGTTCCTGTTTCACAACTTCAATTGCAGCATTGACAAAGTAGTACAATTGTTCAAAGTGATCCCTTTCCATTTTTATGATTCTTTTATATGACTGGCTCATCATTTCGGAAGTAATAGAGTTAAGTAACTCCTGTTGACCATCAGTATTTTCATTTTCCTCATTTTGTTTGTGCAAATTGTAAAGCATTTGTGGTTTTAAATCTGCTTTTCCTTGGATCAATGGATCAGAATGTAAGGAAACAACACCTTTATTGGTAATAATAGAGGTAATTACTTTCTGGTTTGGTCTAATGGCACTTTTTCTTCCAATCACCTGCTCATTGTCAAAGACATTCATTAAATTCTGGCTCTTTAGTTCCTTGTTCTCGTAGCCAAGAAGTAACAGTTTGATAATGACCTGCTGGACAACAATTACCAATAATGTCTTCCGCTAATCTGCTTCCTGTCAATGTGTAAATCGAAATATTGAGAAGAAATGAAATAGGTGTAATAAGATAAGGACATCTGAGCATGTACAATTGTTCTACTCCTCGAGCAAGGCTTAATTCATTTCCTTGTTCATTTGGATCTGTGTGAAATTCTGTATTGCTTACACCTTGAAGAAATGATATGATACATGTCATACATCTGTTTCTTCTTTTTAACCATGCTTTAACATTAAAGCTGGCCATTGCTTTTGGATCCTTGTATTGCAGGGCAAAAGATGAGGCATCTTCAACAATATATGTCTGTACTTTTTTTCCAAGACAGTAGGACACAATGGCATTTCATGTATCAAATCAATGAAGATTTTTTCTTTTGTCTTACAGTTCTTTTGAGAAATTGCTTTCATTAAATTCTTCATTAGGTCATAAGGAAATTGTTCTTCACCATCATCAGTGAACGATGTCTGACTTGTAGCATCATTAATGCTATCTCCTTGTTTATTGTAACTACTAGTGCCTTCCATCATGTCAGAAGACTCATTAGGGTGTTCAGTTTTCGTCCTTTTAACATTAGTGCGCCACTTTTTCTTAATGCATACATTACATTCCTCGTCTGAGTGAGGAACGAAATCAAATAATTCTGTTTTATACTTTGAAACGGAATCCCCTAATTGGTCAATTTTACTTCAACATGTTCGATAACGATACAGATCCCGTGAATCTTTCCGGCTGATCAAAGAGGGAAAGACTTCAGATGGTTCAGTTTCAATATCTATATTATACAGCTCATCTAGCTCTAATTTAAAACGTGTTTTGTTGTATGCATATTTTGTTGACACATTTGTCCCACAAAATCGACACATTTGTTCCAATTTTATGGCATGATAATTTTGATGTGCCATTTTGTTTCATTAAAGAGAGTAATGTCTTAAACTGCATGTTATCAAATGCCTGTAAAGATAGATCACCATTTCAATGGGTTGGAATATTGAGCAACACTGCTTAAATGGCTCATGTAAATGATTAGTCAAAATATGTTCTATTCTGCTGGCTACTTAAGATCATTTTTGAAGCAAGAATAAGGGAGAATGTATAAGAAAACAGTTTAAAAGTAACCTGTTTAAAAGTAACCTGATGGCATATTTTTTTTCTGTTAAACGAGTACACGAAGTATGATTCATTTTTACAATGATGTTTAACAGTTATACATTTTGGTTAAATTTGCTACCTTTAGTTATTGTCCGAAAACTGGAAAATCCCCCTTTTCTAATGAATAAAACCACATAACTCGGAAACATAAAATCTAAAATCCATTAAGTACAAAAGGGAACTCAAGTCAATAGATATATACAATTCACCAAAGTTTTATGCAAATTGGTTAAAGCGTTTTTGAATTAATATTCGACATGTTGAAGACGGACGGACAACAGTATACCATAATACGTCTCTTAAACAGGCGTATAAAAATTAAGTTTTTCACAAGTAACTTTGACACAATTTATTCTTAAACCAGGTGCTCCGTAGGGCGCAGCTTTATAGGACCGCAGAGGTCGAAACCCTGAACCGTTGGGGCAAGTATGGACACAACATCCAAGATTGATACAGCTCTGAATTTGGATCGTGATCAAATTTTTGACATAATATAGGTTTCTGACACAAAACAAATGTCAAGATCTTACAAATCTATTGCGCAATACTGTGCAATTAAAGATTTCTTCTTGAAACTTTTCAAAAATTTGTTGAAATTTGAGAACTTTTAAGAAAAAAAATTGAACCCGTTAAAAAAATTGGAACCCCCAAAACTTTTTGAATCCCCCCTTGGAACAATTACCCTAAAACTCGATCCCAGCCTTTCCAATGTATTATATAGAACCTTGTAGTACAATTTCAGAGAGATCCAAACACTTAAACACAAGTTATTGTCCGGAAACTAGAAAAATGCTTGTTTTTAGCCTTTTTTTTTTGTCTCCTAATTCCTGCATGAATGGGGCAGTAACCCCCAAACTCAATCCCAGCCTTCCTTTTGTGATTTGGAACTTTGTGGTACAATGTCAGAGAAATTCACACAAGTTATTGTACAGAATGCTTGTTTTTGGCTCCTTTTTGGCCCTTAACTCCTAAACTGTTGGCACCACAACCCCCAAAATGAATCCAATCCTTCTACTCGTGGTAAAAAACATTGTGGTACAATTTCAGAGCAATTGAAATACTAACACACAAGTTATTATCCTGAAAGTAGAAATATGCTTGTTTTGGCCCCTTTTGGGCCTCTAATTCCTAAACGGTTGGGACCAACATCCGCAAAATCAATCCCAACCTTCCTTTAGGGGTATAAAATTTCAAAGAGATCCATTCACGTAACTAAGGTTATTTTCCGGACACCAAATGTGTCTTCGGACGACGCATACGATGACGACATCATACCATTATACGACCCCAAAAATGTGTTTGCGGTCGTATAAAAATCTTTCCTCACTGGACTATGAGAAAACAACAAGCTTGTACATATTTCTCATAATTTCCCAGAAAATAAGTTTCCGGTTTCCATCATCATGATCATGTAAATGTTCTGTTCATATTTTTTTCAAGGTACATGTCACGAATATTATTGTAGGGAAGCTGAAATTTAAAATTTTATTCATGTTCACGGGGTACATTATTACTTTTATTTACCTGTATGCACCTGTTTATATGAATCTAAAAATCTCTTACCTAAAGATGTTGCCTCCATGTTTCTTGTCAGTTGTTTCTGCTATACAAATTAGAGTTGAAATTTATTCTGCAACAAAAACCAGTTTTCTGTAAAAACTCTGTAGAACCAGCTTCCCACCATTAAACATGATATTCAGAACATTTAAACTTAATAATTAATTTTTGTATGTCAACAAAGACAAAATGCTTAGTTTTCTTCTTTACATCAAAAAAAGTAAAATTCATTTTGGTCTTAAAAGAACAAAATCACAATTATAAATGCACAGGATAATATCTCAATCAATTTAGTTACTTGAGTAAGAATAATTGTGATTATTTCGCATTTTAGGCAAACAATGTAAAGTTGTCCCCTCCTCCTTTTTCTCGACAGCTTTTGCTATTTAATTCTTTGATCTCTGTTTCATTTCAAACTTTTCGATGAAATTTAAACATCTCGAATATGTTAGAGAATGACAAGTATTTATATTCTATTCAGAAACAAAGTAAATAATACTAAACTAAAGGTTTAAGTGATCTCTTTGGTAATATCACCCTGTTGTTATTCCATGATAAAGTTCTCTCTGTAATAACCTATGCCTGTTATTAACATGCATGATATGATTGAAAATTAATTCTCTCCATAGAATGAAAGACAAAGTTTTATACACATATTTAAATTATTGAAAGACATTTTGATCATTTTTTGAAACATACAATTATAAACTCAGAATTTATCAAAAGATTTGTTGTATCAAGTATCAGGTTTAAACATGTTATTTTGAATAATTAAAACTCAAGATAATTATTTTTTTATGCAAACATTGACAATGAAAGACCAAATGCTTATTTTTTTTCTTTATATCGCAAAAAGTTAAAATCTCATTTTGGTCTTAAAAGAACAAAATCACAATTATAAATGCACTGGATAATATCTCAATTTAGTCACTTGAGTGAGAATAATTGTGATTATTTCGCATTTTAGGCAAACAATGTAAAGTTGTCCCCTCCCCCTTTTTCTCGACAGCTTTTGCTATTTAATCCTTTGATCTCTGTTTCAATTCAAACTTTTCGATGAAATTTAAACATCTCGAATATGTTAGAGAATGACAAGTATTTATATTCTATTCAGAAACAAAGTTAACAATACTATAATTATTTACATTTTACAATATTCGACCATTTTTTATAGATAATTGTATTAGATGTAACATAGAATCGACCATATTTTATAGATAATTGTACTGGATGTAACCTGAAATCGACCACTTTTGTATTGATACATTTTTTATAATTTAAATTATAATGGCCACCTTTTCTAGATAATTGTATTAGATGTAACCTTACATCGGTCACTTTCTTCATTGATAATTGTATTACATTTCACAAGATTCAACCAATTTTTATAATTAATGTATCAGATGTAACCTTAAATCGTCCATTTTTTTATAGATAATTGTATTAGATGTAACTTTCAGTGGGCCACTTTCTTTATTGATAATTATTTTCCATTTTACGGGATTCGACCACTCTTTATAGATAATTGTATTTGATGTAACCTTAAATCGACCATTATTTTATAGATAATTGTGTTAGGTGTAACCTTCAATCGGCCACTTTCTTTATTGATAATTTTACCACATTTTACAGTAAATTTGACAACTTTTTTATAATTGTATCAGATGTAACCTTAAATCTGTGACTTTTTACAGATGATTGTATCAGATGTAGCCTTAAATCGGCCACTCTTGTATTGATAATTCTATTACATTTTACAAGATTCAATCACTTTTTATAGATAATGTATTAGATGTATCCTTAAATCGACCATATTTTCAGATAATTGTATTAGATGTAACCTTCAATCAGCCACTTTCTTTATTTATATTATTTTCCATTTTACAAGATTCAACCACTTTTTATAGATAATTGTATTTGATGTAACCTTAAATCGGTCACTTTCTTTATTTATTATTTTACTACATTGTACAATAAAATCGAACATTTTTCTAGAATATTGTATTAGATGTAACCTTAAATCGGAAACTTTATTGATAATTTTTTTCCATTTTACAAGATTCAACCACTTTTTATAGATAGTTGTATTTGATGTAACCTTAAATCGGTCACTTTATTGATTATTTTACTACATTTTACAATAAAATCGAACACTTTTGTTGATTATTGTATTAGACGTAACCTTAAATCTAACACTTTTTATACATAATTATATTAGATGTAGCCTTAAATCGGTCACTTTCTTTATTGATTATTTTACTATATTTTACTATAAATTCGACTACCTTTTATAGATAGTTGTAATAGATGTAACCTTAAATCGACTAAATTTTATAGATAATTGTATAAGTTGTAACCTTAAACCGGCCACTGTTTTATTGATCACATTTTACAGTAAATATGACCTTTTTTTGACACTTGCATTAGATGAAACTTTAAATAGGTCTCTTTTTCTAGATAAATGTATTATATGTTCCCTTAAATCGGCCACTCTCTTTAATGATAATTCTACTACATTTTACAAGTTTCGACCACCTATAATATCCCCAAGGGTGACTTGGGAATAGAAGTATGGTCACCATTGGTCTTCCTCCGACCGGCGGTAAAACCCTCGTCAAAGTGGGGTGTCCGTTTGGCTGTGCGGGATGTACAAATTTGCAGCCACGTCCGGTCAGAATGGGGACGTTAAATCCGATGCCTTGTGTAATGAGAGTGCCACGCTCTTTGCACGTTAAGAACCCTTGCAACAACTCTTTGAGGGGTCCGTAGGTGACCTGTTGCAAGGCTAAATTTCTGTCCCTATCCAATATACCCTCATTTCCCGTGGCAGTCTAAATTTCTCCGACCTTAATCCCCTAATCTATTACAGAACCTACCTTTTGTATTTATTGTGAACTTGTTCTCGTCCTGAATATGCATGAAATATTTGCCACTGGACGTTAAGCAACCAACAATCAATCAATCAATCGACCACCTATAATAGATAATTGTATTAGATGTAATCTGAAATCGACCATTTTTTGTATTTATACATTTATTATAATTTGAAATTGAAATGGCCACTTTTTCTAGATAATTGTATTAGATGTAACCTTAAATCGGCCACTTTTGTTTAGATAATTACATTAGACGTAACCTTAAATCGAACACTTTTTATATATAATTGTATTAGATGTAACCTTAAATAGGTCACTTTTTCTACTAATTGTATAAGATGTTCCCTTAAATCGGCCACTTTATTGATAATTCTTTTACATTTTCCAATATTCGACCATTTTTTATAGATATTTGTATTAGATGTAACATAAAATCGACCATATTTTGTAGATAATTGTATTGGATGTAACCTTAAATCAACCGCTTTTGTATTGATACATTTTTTATATTTTAATAGAATTGACTACCTTCACTAGATAATTGTATTAGATGTAACCTTAAATCAGTCAGTTTGTTCATTGATAATTTTATTACATTTTACAAGGTTCAACCACTTTTTATAGATAATTGTGTTAGATGTAACCTTCAATCGGCCACTTTCTTTATTGATAATTTTACCACATTTTACAGTAAATATGACAACTTTTTTATAATTGTATCAGATGTAACCTTAAATCTGTGCCTTTTTTTTTAGATAATTGTATTAGACGTAACCTTAAATCGAACACTTTTTACAGATGATTGTATCAGATGTAACCTTCAATCGGCCACTTTCTTTATTGATAATTATTTTCCATTTTACAAGATTCAACCACTTTTTATAGATAATTGTAACGATGTAACCTTTAATCGGTCACTTTCTTTATTTTTTATTTAACTACATTTTCCAATAAAATCGAACACTTTTCTTGAATATTGTATAAGATGTAACCTTAAATCAGTCACTTTTTTTTAGATATTTGGATTATATTTAACCTTTAATCGTCCACTTTTTTTATTGATTATTCTATTACATTTTACAAGATTCAACCACTTTTTATAGATAATGTAATAGATGTTATCTTAAATCGACCATTTTTTACAGGTAATTGTATTAAATGTAACCTTCAATCGGCCACTTTCTTTATTGATAATTATTTTCTATTTTAGAAGATTCAACCACTCTTCATAGATAATTGTAATTCATGTAACCTTAAATCTGTCACTTTATTTATTATTTTACTACATTTTACAATAAAATCGAACACTTTTCTTGATTATTGTATCAGATATAACCTTAAATCAGTCACTTTTTATAGATATTTGTATAAGATTTAACATTAAATCGGACACTTTCTTTATTGATTATTTTACTACATTTTACAATAAATTCGACTACCTTTTATAGATAGTTGTAATAGATGTAAACTTAAATCGATTAAATTTTATATATAATTGTATAAGTTGTAACCTTAAACCGGCCACTGTTTTATTGATCACATTTTACAGTAAATTTGACATTTTTTTGATACTTGCATTAGATGAAACTTTAAATAAGTCTCTTTTTCTAGATAATTGTATTAGATGTTCCCTTAAATCGGCCACTCTCTTTAATGATAATTATACTATATTTTACAAGTTTCGACCACCTATTATAGATAATTGTATTAGATGTTAACTTAAATCGACCATTTTTGTATTGATACATTTATTATAATTTATATTGAATTGGCCACCTTTAACAGATAATTTGGGGCAATATGCGTAATAGATTCTCCATAGGCGGTAATGTTAACGTTTTCTTCTGTTGCTCAGGCCATATCGTAAACTTGGATATGTATGATGGCTCATTTTGAAGCTGAGACACTTGCACATGTGTGGTGCGATTTTCGGGGTGGCAAGTGTGATTCGTTTTCCCGTCAAGTGCCCAACCCCGAAAGATAGTGAAAAATGTCACTCTCCTCAGGAAATAATCACAAAATTCTGACCATAAAAATCATTAAAAAATATGTCCTTTGTAATTATTTGTTCAGGTTTATTTTTTTATACTTTTTTCACATAACATCAGCTCTATAAAACACCAGTCCTAGTTCATTTATGTCAATTTTT